ATGTTCTAAGTAAGCCTCACGTCAATTGTAAGGGGAAATGGGATTTCAGTATAGCATGTTCTAAGTAAACCTCACGTCAATTGTAAGGGAAAATGGGTAGACCGTTGAACTACATATGAAATAAATAACTAAATGTTGATACAAATACATGAAACTGCCTAGAATAAATACATGTAAACTAATCAAACAATTGCAAAATACCCTAAGTATTGAACAGACCAGGCTAACTAAAAGCCTGTACCATTGACAAAGAATTACTTAAAGCAACAATTTTTTTTAACATTGCTTAATATTTCTATTTAGATATTCCAGCAAAGTATTTTTCTAATGGAACTGAATATATTGGAAAATACATGTGAGATTTAAGCTCACTACTAATATTATTTTACATAATCTATTATGATAATATGCGTGCGCACCTTACTACCTAAATGCGCAGGCGCGTGCACTCCATTTTCAACGGTTGTAAACGAAAGACGGATGTAAATATACTTTAGTAGACATTTTGTACAACAACATATTAAAAGCTTATCAAAGTTTGTAAAACGGTCTAACGTTAGGTCGTAGAATAACGTTATAAGTTTGTTTATTGATATTATTAAGTACGGTAATGTGTAGCCCTAGCTAAACTAAAGCAAAAAACGTACACAAGTTACAGAGTTAAATTATTTCTTTATCGAATAAAGGTTGTAATTAATAAAGGCTTATCTATTGTTAGGCCTAAGACAAGAGGACTTATACCTTTCGGTGTCTGAGATTAGAATTATTTTTAATTATTCTAGAAAATTTGTATTTATAGAATTGCTGTTGCAATAAAGATACTGATTTGACCGCAAATGTTTGGACGGATATTATGTAAGTTCATGATTAATTAAAGGTTATCTTAGGACATGAAAAGTTGCTTCCCTTATATGTAATTGTAAAAAAACGCCCATAAAAACTGCAAAACATAAAATGTCAAACCACAAGTTTGCATATATTTCCACATGTACCAAACAAACCTTCATGCCAAATTTGGTTAAAATTCATCCGCACGGGGTGAAGGAGTGGTCAAAAGCGCCCATAAAAACCGCAAAACTGAAAACTTGTATGATTCTCCCCACAGAACTATTGAACTTCCACACCAAATTTGGTGAAGATCCATCCACAGGAGGTGAGGTAGTGGTAGAAAACTCCCATAAAAACCGCAAAACTGAAAACTTGTATGAT